CCGGCGTTTTGTGCCGGTGACACACCGGAGCGCCGGCGGCCGCAGCAGCTCTTCGCAGACCCTCCTCCTCCAGCTCTGCTGCGGTCACTAGCAGTAAATGACGGCTCCCCTCCTTCCACGGACCATCTCAGGGCTTCCAGGTGGAGGACAGAGCTGCCTGGTGCGGATCACATCACACCCCCGTCACAGCTCCTTGTTATCATAAAAGCCTTCGGGTACTGCTTCTCAATGCTACGTTGGCATTAAGAGGTTTATTCTCCATTTTGGTGACGTCCTCATGGCCCCGGTGGCTTGCTCCTTGCAGGCGGCAGGCCGGAGAGCAGAAGCTGTGAAGTTCCCGTGAGCAGAGCTCTCTCTGGCTGGTGTCAGCCACAAGCTGTCTCTCTGCAGCCACGACCTTTCTCACCCGGCAACGCATTGCAAAGCCGGCGTGGGTCCTTTCCCCGCGCACACGCTCGCATGCAAGTTGCAAGCGCAGAGGAACATGAAACTCCCACTGTTGGTTTCTGCATGATCTATTTCCGTGGCAAAAAGCCATAATTTGGTTTTGCTCTGCAGCAGTTCAGCCGAAAGCTGGAGCCACTTCTTGTTCCGCCACGCACCTCTGCCCAGAGCTGCTCCGGCTTAGCCAGATAAAGCAGAGCTGGTCCTGCCAGAGCTTGCTGTGCACCCAGCGAAATCCAACACCTTCCCCGATGCCCTTGTCAGGACTCACTGAGTCTTTGGCCCCAACAAAAGCCACTCTGGTGATGCCTCTGCCCGGTGGCAGTGTGAGCCTGCAGCCTGCCGCAGCCGACAGCACCGGTGTCCTCACCGTGGGAGAGGACCACACAGGGCAGCAGGAGGTCAGAGGAGATCCTCCCTGGGGGGTGGGTGTGTGCAGGAGCAGGTCATTGCCCATGTCAGGGGGCCTTCTTTCTGTCTCTGGCAGAGATGAGCTGATTTGTGCAGGACGGTGTCTGCTCTGCTCTCACTCACAGCTCCAGGGAAGCCGAGCAGGCGATTTGTGCTTCAGGGGATGAAAACCCAGACCCTGGAGTCCACCCACAGGCCTGAGCATCCTCTCTGCAGTGGAGGGGTCTCCAACCCCAGCAGCACCCCAGGCTGTCACCCCTCTCCCTGCAGAGCTGCTGCTCTGCCTGGCTCCCCAGGCAGGAGCTGCCCCGAGCCATGGCACTGCCCTGCCACCGTTCCAGTGCCCGGGACCTGCCGAGGCTTGAAGGTCTCTCCCATGCCAGGCAGGTTCTTCACCACTCGTTTCTCACCTTTTCATCCGGAAAATCCATCTTGGACTCAAGGGAGCTTTGGAGGGAGAGGTTCAGGCTGGCACAATGTGTGGCAAACCACCTCTTCCAGCAGACTCCCTGCTCCCTGGGGGCTGAGGTGCAGGGTGGCAAAAGACCCTCCTGCCTGCAAAGACCCTCCAAAGCAGGTGAGAACCTGCAGTTTGATTGCTTTGTGGAGGCCTGTGGCTGTATGGGTGACTGTGAGTAGCCTGCAAAGATGAGGTGGCTGGCTTGGTGGATGAGGGCAGAGCAGGAGATGTGGTTTATTTTGACTCTAGCAAGTCTCCCATAACATCCTCACAGGCAAACTGGCGAAGGATGGATCAGGTAAATGGCAGTGAGAGGGACTGAGAACTGGCTGAATGGCTGGGCTTGGCGGATTGTGATCCATGGCACAAAGTCCAGCTGGAGGCAGGTTGCCCCAGGGATCGTTACAGTTTGATTTCTTCATGACCTGGACGATGGGACAAAGTGCACCCTCAGCAAATTTGCAGATAACACAAAGCTGGAAGGAGTGGCACCAAGGGACATGCTGCCGTCCACTCAGACCTCTCAGGCTGGAGAAATGGGCTGACAAAAAACTCATGAAGTTCAACAAGGGGAATTGCAAAGTCCTGCCGCTGTGGAGAAACACCCCCAGGCACCAGTATACGCTGG